CGCCAACTATAATCGAAATTTTTTTAAATAAAAGAGGCTAATAAAGGGTTCGACTATCTTCTTTATTAAAGGAAAAGCTCATTCTTCATAGTTCATTTTGCTCTAGCCTCGCAAATCTGTGAAAAATCAGTGACTAAACTTAACCTGCCTGCAAATTGGGGGGGAGGGGGGATGTGTCTGTAAAATATATGCACGTTTAGCTTCAAAGTTCTGATGGAATCCGTTGCTTTAGTGTTGGTATGTATGATCGCACCCGTCATATACGTCGTCATAAATTTATTTATCCAAGTCGCAAGTTTAATCGAATTTCTTTTAAATAAAAGCGGCTCATAAAGGGTTTGATTATCTTCTTTTTTAACCCGAAAACCTCGTTCTTCTAAAATCAATTCGCTCTAGCCTCGCAACTTTTTGGAAATCATTTAAAACAAATATAATTTGTCCTCAAATTAAGTAAAATAAATAAATAAACATAGTCCGCCTTCAAATGGTGGGGGGGGGGGGGGGGGAGAAACAAGAGGGGTAAAACACGAGGACTTCCTAGAAGGTCACCCATCCTAGTACTACTCTCGCCCAAGCACGTTTAACTTCGGAGTTCTCATGGAATCCGTTGCTTTAGTGCTGGTATGACCGCACCCGTTATATCCATAGCCATAAATTTATTTATCCAAGTCGCCAAGTATAATCGGCTTTCTTTTAAATAAAAGTGGCTCATAAAGGGTTTGATTCTCTCTTTTTTTTTAATGGAAAACCTCGTTCTTCCAAAATCATTTCATTCTAACCTCGCAAATTTCTACATATTGTGTTCAAATTGGGTGGAAAAAATGTTAAAATAAATGTAACCGAGAAATTGTGTTCATAGTTGCCTTGGGGCTGGAGAAAAAAGAGGGGTGCAACACGAGGACTTCCCAGGAGATCACCCATCCTAGTACTACTCTCGCCCAAGCACGTTTAACTTTGGAGTTTTGATGGGAACCGGTGCATTAGTGGTGGTCTGATCGCACCCGTCATATCCATCGTCATAAATTTATTTATCCAAGTTGCCACATATAATCTGTTAGAACTAATGCCTCCTTGTCCCATACAGGTTTTAATATTGACAAACCAATTCAAAATTATGGCAAACTTGAAGCAAAAAGGAATCAATCAAAGAACAAAGTGCAAAAGAATTGAAGTGACAAGCAAGAAGAGTTAGGAACTTAAATTGTACAAGGTTAAAAACTCAATTCTTCTAAGTTATTGGCTCAAAACAAAATCAATTTTACTCATGCATGAAATAGCATCGTTTCAATCATAAAAATAATTTTTGAGCTAAGAACATCGATGTTCCAATTCCCAACATTGATGTTCCTGCCTTCAAACAATTTTTCAAAATGGCAGAAAGCTCAGAACATCGATGTTGGCATCCCAAACATCGTTGTTCTTGTGATCGTTGCATTTAAAATGATTTGCAGCATCAAAACATCGATGTTCTACTTTGAGACATCAATGTTCCATCAATTGACGCTTTCAAACAATTTGGCAAATGCTTTCAAACATCGATGTTCAGCTTTTAAACATCGATGTTCTTTCAATTGTGTTTTCAAAAAGTTTGGGCAGAACTCAGAAAACATCGATGTTCCACATGTAAACATCGATGTTCTCATGTAAACTGGTTTTAAAGTGTTTTGGCAGATTGGCCAAAACATCGATGTTCTCATGTTAGACATCAATGTTCTAGTGACCGTTAGTCCAATAATTCATATTTACTTGCAGAACATCGATGTTCTGGTTCTAAACATCGATGTTCAGCCGTTATGAGCAGAAACCTTTTTCAGCTTCCCATGCTATTCTGTCTAAAGGTGTTTTGAATTGATTCCCAAACAGTCATACAAGTTTTCAGGCATATAAATAGTGTTATTACACCTCTTTTTGTGTACAATCAACTCTCTACATTTTAAGCATTCATTGTCATACATTCATACACAATTTTGTGAGCCAATATCCTTTAGGATTGAGAGTTGCCTTTACAAAGCTTATCTTGTTCATTCATATCCACTCTTTGAGAAAGTTTTGCTTTGAGTGATTTAAGTGTAGTCATAGACCTTAAGGGACGATTGATCCCTTGTAGCAAATTCATAGGAAGAGTGTTTTCTTTCTGTGAGAGAAGTCTTGAAGTGAGGTTTCTTCAAGCAAGTGTGTAGAGGTTCGTGTGACTCGAACTCTAGGATTGTAAACGGTTTGTTAAGCCCCTGGAAGCTTAAAGTAGTTAGTGAAATCTTCGAGAGAGTCTCTCGGAGGACTAGATTAGCCACACAAGTTGTGTGTGTGAACCAGTATAAAATTCGGTGTGTCCTTCATTCTTTCAATTCCGCAATTATTTCCTGCAAGTTTTTTTATTTCGTCCGAAAAATGCTATTCATCCCCCGTCTAGCGTAGGGCACGCACCTATTCTAACAATTGGTAGTGGAGCCTAACTCTCTGAAAGACTTAACCATTTGAGAGGAACTTTCCATGGCTTCTTCAAGTAATGTGTACGCAGGAATCTTCGAAGGACGATCCACCACCTGTCCAACGCTCTTTGATGGCACCAACTACACCTATTGGAAGGAGAGGAAGAGAATCTTTATCCAAGCCAACAACTATTGTCTTTGGCAAATTATGAAGATCGGAGAGCAAATTCCGACAAAGAAAGTTGGTGAAACTACAGTGACAAAGACGGAGGCAGAGTATGATGCTAAAGACATCAAGAAGGTCGAAAACAATGCCAAAGCAATCAACATGCTCTACTGTGCAGTCAACCCTGATGATTACCGAAAGATCTCTTGCTGCACAACCGCCAAAGAAATGTGGGACAAGCTGGAGATTACCTACGAAGGAACCGATCAAGTTCGAGAGGCCAAAATCGACTCCCTCACTACAGAATACGAACTCTTTCGAATGAAGGAGAACGAGACGATAGAGGAGATGTTCGATCGATTTTCAAAAATCGTAAACAAACTTCATGCACTCAAGAAGGTCTATTCCGACAAGGACTTGGTCAATAAAGTCCTTAGAAGCCTCACTCCCGAATGGCGCTCTAAAGCTGACGCAATATATGAAAAGATCGAGACATCGAACACAACCATTGACGGCCTTAGAGGTAACCTTCTAACTTATGGAACGACCATTCTTAAACCCTCTTTGCAGGAACCCAAGAAGAAGGACATAGCCCTAAAAGCTTCCACTTCCAAGACTCAAGAGCCCACCGAATTGGACTCTAGTGAGGACGAACAAGAATTCAGAATTGTCATCCGAAAAATTCCACAAATTCATGAAAAAGGAATTTTTTTTTTAGGGAACATGAAAAAGGAATTTGAAAGGAAAGGAAGAAAGTTGTCCGGTCCGCCCAAGTGCTATGGGTGTGGAGAGGTTGGGCACATCAAACCCAAGTGCCCCAAGGCAAAGGAAGGAAAAAGAAAAGAAGCCCCACAAGAAGCAAATGGCATACAATTCTTGGAGAGGCGATTCCGGCGATGAATCATCCGATAGCGACGAAGAAGAAATGGCCAACCTATGTCTCATGGAACTGGAAGAAGAGCCGGAAGAGGTAAGTACCACTTCTCCAAATGAAACTTTTTCCTATGAAGAATTGCAAAAGCGTTTGATGAGGTTTATAGTGAATATATTTCTGCTTTTAAAATTGACAAGGATTTAAAGAAACAACTTACAACTCTAGGAAATAATATGGAGAAGTTATCAAATGAAAATGAAAAGCTCAAGGAAGAGAATAATTTTTACGGAAAGAGGAGTGCTAACAAACCGGAAAATTCAACTAGGGAGTGTTCATCATGTATGTCTTTAAAGGAACAAGTTGAAAAACTTGAAACAACCTTAAAGAAATTTAACACCCCTCAAAAGAACTTAAATTCTATCTTAGGTAACTTGCAATCAACTAAACATGGACTAGGTTTCAAGAATGAACCTAAAGAGAACATTAAGACTAAACCTAGGAAACCCAAGGTTCAACCTAAGGAAAACAAGGTTAGTAAAGTGCATAAGTATAGACAACATCGCAACTACTACCAACCGAGTAGAATGTACAATCCAAATGTTATTTGCCATTATTGCAATGAGGTAGGACACATTGCTCCTGTTTGCTTTACTAGGCATAGGCATTGGGCTCAAGAAGATGCTCATTACCGTTATGCCTCTAACAGTCAAGGACCCAAGAAGATTTGGGTACCAAAAACTCATTGAAATGCTTGTGTAAGCATGCTTGAAGGCATCAAGTGTACTTTGGTACCTTGATTGCGGATGCTCCAAGCACATGACTAGTATTCAATAAATTGTGGAGTCCCCTCATGTAATATTTGAGAAAATGATACTCGCTTGGCGAGAAAGGTTTTTCCTGTTTGTTTTGCAGGTACCCCTCACTTAGTCCAAAATATAGGGGGAACATAAATGCCGAGACAGCACAAGATCGATGTTGTTCAATGAAACATTGATGTTCAGCCTGCACGAAAATTGGACCAGAGGCTGCAAAACATCGATGTTGAGAACAAAACATCGATGTTCGTTGGATTTCAGATCATATCAAATTCAACCAGTAGCTAAAGACATCGATGTTGAAAGCCAAACATCAATGTTCCATCAAGTGCACACTCAAGCCCTTGCCAGAATGCAGAAAACATCGATGTTGGTCATCAAAACATTGATGTTCAGTAAGAATATACTATTTGTTCCCTCTATCAATTAAAAAGATTGTTAAAAAAAATACATCATGGGAGGGATTAGACCATGAATCTATTGATTCTTAGGACTTATGCCACCCCCTTACTCACTTTATTCGAACATGGGGTCGAGGAGGGTTTTTGACTCTACCAATAGTCATGTTGAATGCTATATTTACCGATCTATACGGATAGATAGACTTCCCGCCCTATACCAAATCTTTTTCTAAAGTAAAGTGATGGTATCAACTGCTATAGCTAGTATTCATTCGTCGGAATAAAAAGAAAATCGTAAAATAGAAATTATCTTTCGGAGAGATGGCTTAGTGGTTGATAGCTCCGGTCTTGAAAACCTGTATAGTTGTTTGCAAACTGTTGAGGGTTCGAATCCCTCTCTCTCCCTTTCCTCGGTGAATCTATTTATGTATTTCTTGGTCTTGCCCGGCTCAGTATCTTTACAGTTAACGGAGTTAAAGGGAAAGGGCTGGACTAGGCAGGATAGCTGAGTCAAAAAAAAAATCGATTAGATCGAAATAAGTTGAACAGAAAGGAAAGGGCAAACTTTTGAAGTCTGCCCTCATCCACCTAACCAATCTGTATTGTCGAATCAAATTCATTCCTACTTCAATCAAGTCATAGATCCCGTTTTTCAACTAGTTAAGAGGAGTCATGAATAGAACAGGTTCAAAATCACGATCAATTCCATTTTCAAATCCTGCTGCAGCTGCACGAGCCCTTTCCGCATGCCATAAATGACCTATGAATAGGAAGAATCCGAGAACAAAATGAGAGGTAGCTAACCAACTTCTAGGAGAGATATAATTGACTGCATTGATGTCGGTAGCTACGCCACCTACAGAATTTAACGAACCTAAAGGGGCATGGGTCATGTATTCCACAGAACGCCGTTCTTGCCAGGGTTGTATGTCTCTTTTCAACCTACTCAAGTCCAAACCATTTGGCCCCCTTAAAGGTTCTAACCAAGGAGCACGCAAATCCCAAAAATGCATCATTTCTCCTCCAAAAATAACTTCTCCAGTGGGAGAGCGCATTAGATATTTACCTAAACCAGTCGGTCCTTGAGCGGATCCCATGTTAACCCCAAGACGTTGGTCTCGAACTAGAAAAGTAAACGCTTTCCAGTACTTTTAAACATCGATGTTTGCAATGACAACATCGATGTTCCATCCGTTGGAATTTTATTCCAGAAGGCAGAAAACATTGATGTTGCCTGACCAAACATTGATGTTTAGCCGTTATTTTTGAAAAATTATAGCCGTTGGAGAGCACAACATCAATGTTGCCTGACCAAACATCGATGTTTAGCCGTTAATTTTCAAAAAAAATAGCCGTTGGAGGCTGATCTCAACACTCCAACAGCTCTATTTTGGGTCCCCTATATAAATGAATGCCTCCTTCTCTTATTTACACACTCTCTATTGTTCACTCATACTAGTCTTACTCTCAAATCCATTCTTCTACTTATTTTCTTCAAGCATGACAGGTGGGAAGAAGTCTTCCAAGGGCAAATCTCCCGAGAAGGAGAAACAACCCAAGAAAAGAGAAGGCTCTTCAAGCTCAGCTCCTCAATTTGCTGTGGAAGGCACATCTGTTTGGTTCTCTTCAAGAATCGAGCTCAACAAGTACCAGTCTCTCTACTCCAAGCGCTCAATTGCAAAAATCCTCGGTATCTTCCGGTGGGTTACCCGTAAGAGAAAAAGTACACATAGCTTGAAGCACATATTCGAGCATCGGGATTGTGGGGGTTTGTGACCAAAACGCGCCCTCAATACAGTGCAGACTTCATCCGAGCCTTCTACTCCACTCTCCGCCGAGATGGTGATGTCTTATCTGCTCCTGTGAATGGAGTATCCATCACACTGACTCTGGAGGAATTCGGGACGCTTGCTGGGTTACCATTTCAAGGAGAGGATATTGCACCCTATGGAGGTGATCAATGGCTCACAACCCATGAAGCCCTTTTTCTGAATGAGCTCGGCTTCACGACTATTGTTCGTCATAGTTCCGGGAGGCCAACAATCCATTCCATCAACCCGGAGTACCGAGTTATGTTCTATCTTCTCACCCGGATAATTAAGCGAAGAGCCACAAATCACACCGTCATGTTCATTGAATATGTAAAGGTGCTTCATGCCATCATTCACCATGCACCAATCAACTGGGCACGAATTGTGCTTATGCACATGTCAGACTATGCATCCGCATACACCGAGCATCCACTGCCATATCCTTTCTTGGTATTGGGTATTTTGTTCTCTGCAGGTGTTGATACCCAGGAAGGTGGACAGGTTCCCCACACAAAGATTTGGCCGATAAGTGACGCCACATTCAGAACTGGAAAATCCGAGCAAGCACCAAGGACTGCTCAAGCTGAGTGTTCCGGAGCAGCCACTTCTCGCCGCCGAACCTCTGGAGCCACACTTTATTCCATTGCAACTTCCATCCACAACCTTCAATTGAGCATCACAGGCATGGACCAAGCGATTGAGAGGATAGACACGGAAGTGCAGAGACAGGGTCACTCCCTTAAGTCTTACTTTGCCCGTGTCAACTATGAGCCTCCACCATATCACACCACACTTCATGGCTACAATTTTGGGGATGAGGATGATGATGATGATGAAAACTTTGATGAGAATGTGGAAGGTGATCCAATGGATGTGGAGGGTGATGAAGAAGAAGCTGCTAATGATGATGAAGAAGAGGAAGAAGAAGAAGACATTGACGGTCAGCAACTCGATGATGATGATGATGATGGGAGTTCAAGCCCCTCTTTCTAAACCCTTATCTCATGTTATTTTTTTATGTCTCTTCAATTTCAATAAATAGTTTGTCATTATCTTTTCAAATTTCTTTTTGCTAATGCCAAACGGGGGAAGATAAGTAGAAGTATATGCAAGATTAAATTAAAAGAAGTATATGCATCATGTTAGGGGGAATCATAGGTTGAAAAACATAGAGGGAATTAACCTCATTGTAAATCCATAAAACTTGGCATATACTAATTCCTCATTTTGATCTCATAAATTTGGCATATACTCCTATTTGTTTGTCATTATCAAAAAGGGGAAAATTGCTAGAACTAATGCCTCCTTGACTCATACAGGTTTTGATATTGACAAACCAATTCAAAATGATGACAAACTTGAAGCAAAAAGAAATCAATCAAAGAACAAAGTGCATAAGAATTGAAGTGACAAGCAAGAAGAGCAAGAAGAGTTAGGAACTTAAATTGTACAAGGTTAAACACTCAATTCTTATAAGTTATTGGCTCAAAACAAAATCAATTTTACTCAGGCATCAAATAGCATCGTTTCAATCATAAAAATGATTTTTGAGCTAAGGATATCGATGTTCCAATTTCCAATCCTGCCTTCAAACAACTTTCCAAAATGGCAGAAAGCTTAGAACATCGATGTTGGCATCCCAAACATCGATGTTCTTGTGACCGTTGCACTTAAAATGATTTGCAGCATCAAAACATCGATTGTAATGCCACGGATTTTCGGTTATTAGTTTCTATGTAATTTTTGGAATTTTTGGAATTTAATTTCCATTTTTGCCCTCAAGGAATTTCAGGATATTTATGGTCAAAGAAAATATTTTATTTTATTGGTAATATTATTATTATTATTATTATTATTATTATTATTTTATATTTATGTGAAAATTAATCATTATTTCAGGATCAAAATTTAATTTTATTTGTGTTTGGATATAAAACACATGGACAAGGGTAGTTTTGATTTAAACTACGTAGTTTTGGGAAGTCCAGAACATAAAACTCAAGGTATATTGCGTTTTGACCAAGGGTAAGCATGTTGACCGTGCCTGAAACCAAAACGACGTCGTTTTGGGCTCGGCTGGTCTAAACCCTAACCCTAGGGTATAAAAACATCCTTTTTTTTCTCTCTCTCTCTCTTCTCTTTTTCCTTTCTCTCCTTTCCCGAACGGCTGATGCCCACTTTTCCCATCACTCATCTTTCTATTCTTCTCTTGCTTTTTCCCAAAATGCCCACCATCTCTTCTCCTTTTCTCCTTCGAAAGGCCATGAGGACTGGAGGCAGTGCGGGATGCGAGGACCCAAGGATGCGACGTCGGAGTAGTAATTGCCTCCCATGCCGTCGGTTTGTAAGTCGCATCACCTTTCCTCCTCTTTTTTTCGTTCTTTTCTTGTTTCTATTACCCGGATTAATTTTGGTTGTTGTGTTGATGGAGGCCAAGTTCTTCTTCCATGTTTTGGCAGTAGTTTGAGCGGGTCATCCATCGACCTTGGCGTGGTCTATGGCCGATTCAATTGAACAGGTATCGACCCAATTTCTTTCATGTTTGTTTATGGTTGAGTTCGATTATCTTTTTATTTATAAAATACCCATGGTCCTTTATTCCAATATAATTATAAATAAATCTTGCTATCAAGCGTTACTGTTGTTTGGGTCATGAGTTGGTAACTTATTACAAGACATGTGTATGTTATAGTTTCATAGAACACGTGGACTACACATTTTAGTTTGGTTCTTGGATACTAAATCCTGGAGTTGAAACATTTACATGTATTGCTACCCGTCTAGTTAAGCATGCGAGTTCTATCATTCATTTTAATGAATCATTAATTTTATATTCAGGCTATACTAAGCTAATGACATACTTAGCATTTGGATTGTCTTAATGTAAGCCAACATGTGGTCCTTTTAGTTTGATTTCTATATATATGTGTCTGTTCTGGTAAGGGTACACGTAGATTGATGGCTGATGCTTAAATGCTAACTCTTGGAGATTTATATTAACATTGTTATTGCATCCTTTCACAAAGTTAGGAGAGGTAAGTATCAGGTCTTTTCTATTGCGCTTCACATGGTCCAGTATGATTTTTAAATTTCTTTTCATCAACCATCTTAAATTTATGCGCATTTTTTGTGCCAAAAAAATAATATTGACAGCTAGTAACTAATTTACCCTAGATGTGAGTTGTCAGTCTCAGTGGATTTAAACTTCAACGCATAATTATGATTAAAAGTTTTATGCCAGTTAGTTAGACTTGCCATGAGGTTTCACACCATGAAACTTTAGGGTACGTTTGGGAACTGTTTTGTGTTTTTAGTTGTTAAGAACTGTTTTGAAGATTAAGAACAGAAAAGTGTTTTGAGAGTTTTTAAACACTGAAAATTCGTTTGGATGTTTTGTACTTTAAAATAATTCTTAAAGAATTAAAAATAAGAAACCTGTTTGGCAGAAATAAATGTAAAAACTATTTTTAAACATTAAAAATTATAAACTTATTATATTAATAAAATAAATTAATTAATAAAATATTTAGATTATATATGAGAGTTTTACAGTAAAATCACCATCACATAATTTATTAATAAATTAATTTTGAA